GAAAGAAAGAAAAAAGAAAGGCAGTGAAAGAGAGAAAAAGAGAAAGAAAAGACAGAGAAAGAAAGAAAAAAAGAAAGGCAGTGAAAGAGAGAGAAAAAGAGAAGGAAAAGAAAGAGAGAAAGAAAGAAAGAAAGAAAGGCAGTGTAAGATAGAGAAAAAGAGAAAGAAAAGAAAGACAGAGAAAGAAAAAAACAGAAAGGCAGTGAAAGAGAGAAAAAGAGAAAGAAAAGACAGAGAAAGAAAGAAAAAAAGAAAGGCAGTGAAAGAGAGAGAAAAAGAGAAAAAAAGAAAGACAGAGAAAGAAAGAAAAAAAGAAAGGCAGTGAAAGAGAGAGAAAAAGAGAAAGAAAAGAAAGACAAAGAAAGAAAAAAATAAAGGCTTTACTGCAAGTACCTTTTTCCAACACACACACAGACACAGAGACACACACACACAAACACAAACACACACACAAACACACAGAGATTTAAAAAAAGGTGGGGGAAACTCAGTAACTTGATCCCTTTGACATTTCGCTTCAGGGCAAGCCCAGCCGTGATCCTCGCCTGGAGACCTTCCAAGGCCAGAGGAAACTTTCCATTACACACCGCCCTCGTTTGCACACCCACGATGGCCACAGGACGTCGTGAAGCAAACAAGAGCGGGTGGGATGTCCGGAGGAGAAGAAGACAACGGCAGCTACTCGGGGCGTCCTGCGAGGAAGCAGGGCTGCTAAACCCATTTAGAAAAATCGAACAGAACGGAATTAAACAGAGCTTAAGAAGGGACCTCGGAGGTCTTCTAGTCCAACCCCCCTGCTCAGGCAGGAGGCCCTAGACCAGGGAGGGCTAACCTTTTCGTCACCGCGTGCCAAAAGTGTGTGTGTGTGTGCGCGCGCTCGCATGCCTGCACCCATAAGGCAATGCGCCGCGTATTGTAGGCTAAAGTCTGCACACAGCCGAGGGGAGGGAAGGAGTGGTAATATAGTGGTATTTGTAGGCTGACTCTGCCCACAGCCAGGAAGTTCAATTCTCACCAGGCTCAAGTTCGACTCAGCCTTCCATCCTTCTGAGGTGGGTCATATGAGGGGACCCAGATTGTTGGGGGGGGGGGCAAGAGGCTGGCTCTGTAAACCACTTAGAGAGGGTTGTAAAAGCACCACGAAGTGGTATAATAAATCTAAGTGCTATTTGCAGGCCAACTCTGCCCACTGCCAGGAAGTTCAATCCTGACCAGCTCGACTCGGCCTTACATCCTTTCTGAGGTCGGTAAAAGGAGGACCCAGATTGTTGGGGGACAAGATGGGGACTCTGTCAAACCACTTAGAGAGAGCTGCAAACCACGGGGAAGCGGCATATAACTATAGGGGCCCAGTGGCCATCTGTCGGCAAGAATATGGACAGGTGAGTTTTCTGGACAGGAGAAAGGAGAAACCCTTCCAACCGTGCCAGGCCAGGGCCTCACCTCTGCCTCTCGGGCTCCCCGTCCACCTCTTCATCGGCACTGCAAGTGGCGCTGGAGTCGTTGTCGGAGCTGGGTTCCATCCGGTGGATGCTGGCCGGGAGGCTCGAGCCGAAATCCCCTCCCTCTGGCTCCAGCTTCTCCTTCGGCCCGTCCTCATCCCTCTCTTTGACCTCGTTCTCCACCTTGACCTGAATGTCTAAGGGCGGCTTGGTGTCCATCTCTACGGGCTCCAGTTTGGTGCCAGCAGCGGCCAGGTTGAGGACGGGCTTGGTGTCCACCAGGGAGGCCCTGCCCTCCGTCTCCATCAGCTCCTCCACTTCGGATTTGGCTTCTTCTTTCACCCGCAGCTCAGCCCCTTCGCTCTCGGCCGGCTTCGGGCCCGGGGTTGGCGAGGGAGGGGAGGCACCGGGGGCCGGTTTTACGGCAGAGTCCTGCTCAGCCGCCGCCTCAGCGGTCACTTGGGAAGAGATGCTGTCCGGAGGGGCGTCTTCCAAAGGTTTGGACGGCTCTGTCGGAGAAGGAGACGGGGCGCTTTCCGTATCGGAGCTGTTTTCGGCACCTGGAAAAAGGCAGGATGTTGAGCGTTAAGCACGGGGAAGAATAACAGAATCATAGGAAGGGACGTTGGAGCTAGAACAATAGAATAACAGAGTTGAAAGGGACCTTGGGAGGTCTTCTAGTCTCACTTCTCTCCTTGGTTAGTTTCGTCCAAGGTGCTATGGTTTGTGATTGATCTCAGAATCCAATCACATTCCCAAGGTTAATGTTGATTTGATCCCTTTTATGGGGAAACTAATCAAGGAGAGACCCAATCTAGAACGAAGGAGGAATTTCCTGACAGTGAAAACAATTCATCAGTGGAACAGCTTGCCACCAGAAGTTGTGAATGCGCCATCACAAGAAAAGATTGGACAGGCAATTGTGCAAAACGGTACAGGGTCTGCCGCTTAAGCAGGGGGTTGGACTAGAAGACCTCCATGGTTCATGTTTTTGTTTTATTGGACAAGGGTTTGGGTCAGAACAGTTCCAATATTTGAGGGGCTGCCCCAAAGAAGAGGGGGTCAAGCTATTCTCCAAAGCACCAGAAGGCAGGACAAGGGACAAAAGGTGGAAACTAATCAACCTAGAACTCAGGAGAAATTTCCTGACACGGAGAACAATTAATCAGTGGAACAGCTTGCCACTAGACGTTGTAGGTACTCCATCACTGGAGGTTTTGAAGAAACTGGACAGTCACTCATCTAAAATGGTATAGGATCTCCTTCTTGAGCAAGAGGTTGGACCAGAAAACCTCCAAGGTCCTCTTCCAATTCTATTATTCTATTATTCTATCCTGGACAAGAAATAATGGGTGGAAGACCATTTAGAAATCCAATCTAGAATTAAGGAGGAATTTTCTTGACAGTGTCAACAATTAATCGGAAAGTCTGATCTTCAGAAATTGTGGATGCTTCAAGATTGGAGGTTTTGAAGAAGAGACTGGACAGCCCTTTGCCTGAAACAGGATAAGGCAGTGAGGGTGAAGCTTTTCAGCACCGCGTGCCCAAACCGGAACACACGTGCAATGTGCGGGTGCCCGAGTGCCATGCGCATGCCTGTTTTTGGACTGTTTTCAGGCCGTTCTTTGGGCCGTTTGGGGGCCATTTTCAAACCCTTTTGGGGCCATTTTCAGGCTGTTTTTCATGGTGGTTGTGGGCTGATTTTGGGGCAATTTTAAGGCCTTTTTCAGGTTGTTTTTGGCCCAGAAATGGTCCAGAAAATGGCCTGAAAACGGCCCATAAATGGCCCTGAAAAAGGCCTGAAAAACAGCCTGAAAAATGGTCTGAAAATGGCCCAAAGAACAGCCTGAAAAAGTCCTGAAAAAGTCCTGAAAAACAGCCTGACAAAGGCCTGAAAAGCATCCTGAAAAAGTCCTGAAAAACAGTCTGAAAAAGTCCTGAAAAACAGCCTGAAAAATGGCCTGAAAAACGGCCTGAAAATGGCCTGAAAAAGTCCTGAAAAAGAGCCTGAAAAGCAGCCTGAAAAAGTCCTGGAAAATGGCCTGAAAAACGTCCTGAAAAAGGCCCAAAGAACTGCCTGAAAAAGGCCTAAAAAACGGCCTGTTTGGGGGGCCATTTTCCGGCACTCCGGTGCCCGCAAAGACCAGCTGGCTGGCATGCCAGAAACCAGAAGAGCAGCTGGCAATGGCTCTGTGTGCCACTTCCGGCACATGTGCCATACAGGTTCACCATCACTGGTGGTATAAGGTCTGCTTTTTGCAAGGTCCCTTCCAGCTCTGTTCTGATGGATGGAACGCCCCCCCCTCACCAAATCCTGCTCGAATGGATCAAGCGAATTTTGCCGACCCTTTGAAAATTATCTAGCAGCCCCGGCTTTCTAAAGCCACCGGGCCCCCTTGCAAAGCAAGCCATTCTGCCTGGAGGCTCAGGCTCCGGAACCCCTCTTGGTCTTTTTGGGCCAGGGGTGTCAAACACAAGGCCCGCAGGCTGGATCCGACCCAGGATATGGAAAATATCAGGGACTGGCCCACGTGGCTTTGTCCCGGTCTACCCAGTGCAAAGAGGCAACATGCCAGCAGTTTGGGGTGTGAATAGTGTCAAGCTGGCCATGTCCACCCAGTTGGCCACACTCACTGAGTGGCGTCAAGCTGGCCACGCCCATCCAGTCAGCCACGCCCAGCGAGTGACGTCAAGCTGGCCACACCCACCCAGTCGGCCACGCCTGGTGAGTGGCATCAAAGTGGCCATGCCCAGGCAGTCAGCCACACCCAGTGAGTGGCGTCAAGGTGGCCACAACCACCCAGTCGGCCACACCCAGTGAGAGGCATCAAGCTGGCCACACCCACCCAGTTGGCCACACCCAGTGAGTGGCGTCAATTTGGCCACGCCCATCCAGTCGGCCACGCCTGGTGAGTGTCATCAAAGTGGCCATGCCCAGGCAGTCAGCCACGCCCAGCAAGTGGCATCAAGCTGGCCACGCCCACCCAGTCAGCCACGCCCACCCTTGAGGTCAACCACAGCCCTGATGCGGCCCTCAACGACGTTGAGTTTGACACCCCTGTTCTAGAGTCACCTTCGCTGTCTTCCGGGTTCTCTTCCTCGTTGGAGACCTCGATGTCCTCATCTTCCTGCGCAGAGACGGTGGACGCCACGCTCTCACACTGCGAAACGTCCCGTTCCTCGCGCGGCCTTCGAGAAGACTAGAGCAGGAAGGAAGAACGGCGTTAACGTCTGGCTTGCGCAGCTAGTCAACCTGGCCACGCCCACCCAGTCGGCCACACTCAGTGAGCCGGGTGATTGGATGGCTTGCCTCCATGAGTATCTTAAACCAGGGGGGTCTGGGGGGGGGGGTCTTCTGTAGGTGTTGGGATAACAATGTGGGCATCCTTTGGGCCCCGTCCAGCCAGGAAAGGCCATCCTGCAGGGATGGGGAGATATGCCTCGTCTGCCATCATGCCAGCCTTCTGGATCATCTTCCCCTCCTCCTGAAATTAGGATGGCCCTCAGCCTGGGGCCTTTTGGGAGGTCTTAGAAGACTCGGTGGCCTGGGGTCCCAAGTGAAGAAGGAAGGGTCTCATTTCCTGCTTATGCTAACATTTATGGATTATAATATCTGTTGGCCACTGTAAAGTGTTCCGTTTTTTTTTCTTTTTTTATTATGGGATTTAATTGGTTTTAATTGAATGGATAGCTGTCTGAGGACCAAAGGCACTGATCTGAGATGGATGGCCATAGTAATTGTACAGATGAATGGATGTAAAATGAATGAATGCATGAAGAAAGAAAGAAAGAAAGAAAGAAAGAAAGAAAGAAAGAAAGAAAG